GAATTATTTCTAAAAATGCGTTTGGTAGTTTTATTTAGAGATTGATTTCAGTTTTAAAAAAAAACTGAAACTGCGTTTGATAGTTTAATTTTTGAAAACATGTAATAATATATTAAATAAATAATATTATTAAATATATTATATAAATAATATTATTAAATATATTAAATAATAATATATTAAATAAATATATTAAATAAACATATATAATACAAAAACGGTTTCAGAAAAGAGGGAAGAAAATGAAAAAGAAAAAAAAAAGTGAAATCCGTTTTTCAGAAAACAGAAAACGAAAACAAGAAAATGAAAACACCTTTTTTTCGTTTTCTGATTTCCACAAAAAGACAAAAACGTTTTTGGTTTTGTTTTTTAAAAAAAATTACACCAAACACGTTTTTAACACCCGTTTTCATTTTTTTGCTTTGAAAACCGTGAAAAATGAAAACGAAAACGCAAACAAACGGGCCCTTTGTTTAGAACATAGCAAAGGACCAAAAAAGCCCCGACATGAGATGAATGAGAAGGGGGCAAAAAAGGGCAAAAGAGTGTTTCACTGTTCAATGCACAGTGAATTCACCCTCTCCTTTTCTCAAAAAGAGAAAAAATGAAAAAAAAAGTTTTAGAAGAAAAAAAAGGGGGATAAAAAAGAACTAAAATAAAAAAATAAATAAGTTGTAGAGAAAAAGTGACCAAACGAAAAAAATAAAACTTCAGGGTAAAAAAATTTTAAAAAAGAGGTCAAAAATAGACCAATGTAAAGAAATATAAGACCAAAGTGAAAAAGAAATAAAGTTTATGGGAGAAAAAAATAAAGTTTTAGAAAAAGACCAAAATGCCCTAACAAGAGATGAATGAGAGGGAGGCAAAAAAGGGCAAAGAGGGTGTTTCACTGTTAAGTGAACAGTGAAAACACCATCTCTTTATATTTACTAGTGTGTTACCTGCACAAATAACACGGATGTATATTTACATATTTAATAGTTAAATATTATATAAAAAAATATGGTACACAATAAAAGTTTAATTTGTAAATAGTACACATTTATTTACATATTTATGTATATATATATTCACCTTCTAAATACAGAAGAAAAATTAATAGGAAAAGAAATACAGAAGAAAAATTATGTATATATTTATACAGAAGTTTAATGTGTAACTAAGTTGTTTTCTGTATTTATTTATTCACCTTCTATATGTATAAATAGTACACATTTGTTTATAATAATACATTTTTTTATATTTAACTCCTGAGAGCAACATGTTTCGGAGAGGAGAAAAGGAAAAGATAATAATAGCCAGCTAGAATGCATTGAGGCAGGTGTTTCGGAGAAGAGAAAACAACACGGAAAAGTCACCAAAAAAAAAAAAAAAAAAAAAAAAAAAAAAAAAAAAAAAAAAAAAAAAAAAAAAAAAAAAAAAACCATCAACCAAACAAATGCAGAAAAACAACACCGAGAAAACAAATAGTAGACCAAAAAAAATCCAGAAGCCAAAACGATAAAAATGAAAACAAAAGAGAAAACGAAGAGTGAGAAAACTAAACACCTCAAAGATTAAGCCAGATCTGTTCCAAAACACGCCAGAAGAAGAGAAAGGGGAAAATTTTTCCAAAAATGGAGAAAATCGAAACTGAGAAAAAAAACATAAGACCCAAAGAAATATAAAAAACTAAAAAGTATCAGTAAAGGAAGTACAAAAACGACGACAACACACCGGAGAAAAGGAAAAAAATATTTTCAAAAACGCAGGAAAACAAAACTAGAAGAACCACGAGAAGAGAATAGAAGAGAAGGGAAGAAACAGAAGACCCAAAAAGAAGAAGAAAATTTCAGAAAGGAACATGTTTCGGAGAGGAGAAAAGGAAAAGATAATAATAGCCTGCTGGAATGCATTGAGGCAGGTGTTTCGAAGAAGAGAAAACAACAGGAATAGAGAACAAACGTGTTTCAAACAGAACAAAAGGAAAAATTAAAGGATACATTTAGCGTCTCTGATTTTGAATCATGATTCATATTTTTTTACAGTATTTTCTCTCATAAAAATTACACATAAAATTAAAATGATTCTGAATTATGATTTTGAATACATAAACCAAACGTCCTCTTAGTTCGTTGATTCGAGTTTTTAATTTAAATTAATATGTGATTTTATATGAAAGCTTTTTATTAGGGCTGTAAGAAATCACCCCGAACCCGACGAACCCGGCCGAGCCGACCCTACTCGAAAATCATGGGTTTCCAATTTTTTATTTAATTTTCAGTTTTAATTATGTCTAACCCGCACTGCGCGGGTAAAGGCGCGGGGTGGGGTTACATGAACCCGAGGTAACCCTACCCGGCCGAACATGTTCAAAGTATGTAAAACAATGTCCAACACTTCAAATTCTTACTTTCATAAGTTTATGGACTTTAAGCTTTTAAACTGTTAATTTATTTATGTTTGGATTCACGGTTTGTGTAAAAAATGCTTGTATGCCATAGTTGTTGAATTAGGACATTCTTTATTTATATTGGAAGTGTTTGATTTCAAAGTGAGTGTTTTAATTGTTCACCTTGCATTTAGACCCCCTCTTGAAGGAAAGACATGTTCTGTTTGATAATGATTTCTTTTGTAACAAGCACAGATTAATTGACTAAAAATTGATGAAGTCATAGATTAAAATTGGTTTTCACCAACCCGAGTAACCCGACCCTACCCGAGGTCACCTGAAAGGTTGCGGGTTTGTAGACTTAAGAGAGTGTCACGGCCTAAAATTTTCTCAACTCGCACTAGTCGGGTAGGCTTAATTTTTCGGCTCAACCCTACCCTCCCCAGCCGATTTACACCCCTACTTTTTATTATAGTAAAAAAGTTAAATATGACTATTTTTAAGAGTTTTTTACTGCAACAAATTATAAATTTTAAACTCAAATCGGTGAAATAAATAGTGCTTATAAATAGCTAGCTAGAGTCCACAACACGGAAAAGTCACACAAAAAGAAGGGCAAAAAAGGAAGTACAATGTTCTTTAAACAGTAAACATCGACATCTTATAATAGTATTGTATAATAATGTCTACTCTAATTGCCACACGCATAATTAATTAATTGCCATAATAAATGCCCACAACGAATTAACTTCATAAAAACGTGTTGTAAAATAAGATGTCGGAAAGCAACGTCTAATTAACGAGGATAATTCGATGAGCACACCAAAGATTTCCTGGAAATTTTGAACTTGTCACGCAAAATGAGAAGATTTCATTTGAAAATTGGTCCCATTCACTTCACCGATTCGTTTAGAATTTGAATTTTGTTACAGTAAAAAGTTCTCAGAAACAGTCACATCTAACTTTTTTATTACAGTAAAAAGTTCTCATATAAAATCACATCTCAACTTAAATTACAAACTCAAATCAACGAAATAAACAGGCTCTAATCATGAAACCATATCCTAAAAATCTGCGTAAGTTTTTTAGTCTTCATATACTAATATAGAGGAATATAATTTTAAAAGATTGACACAAAATTCTAGAGGCAAGTTAATAATGACATATTTTTAAATTTAGTTTCTTTTAAATATATTCCTCCATTTTCTATATTTATTTTTTTTTTTGAGGAACATGCCTCCATTTCTGTAGATTCCTTGTGATGATACAAATGCAAGCCCAAAATACTACACTAGCTTAGAGACGTCATCCTTAGAGGTGAAAGTTCGTGTTGTCCAGCTTGGAGCATTAGGCTCAAAGGGAATTTTGGGTTGCGCCGGGCCGGCCCTAAAGCCTGACGGGTTTAGGGTTTAGGCTAAGCCGGGCCTTCCCAAAATTTACAAGGTAACCAAAAAAATAAAAAATAAAAAAGATGTGTTGCCCAACCCAAATAAAATTTCAGGCTTAAAACTTAGATTTCGGCTCGGACACTTAAGCGAGCTGGGCCGAGACCAGGCCAATAGTGTCAGACTCCGGACCAGTCTAAACTTGCAGTTCTAATCATCGTTTATCTCATGAAACATATCTTATTTGTCAACATAAATATTAGGTGTGTATAAAATCACAATAAATTGTGTACTTTTCCCAATCTTTATAATTGTCTTTTGCAACAAAGGACATGTCGTTATTGTTTAAAGTTTTCTTCTAAATAACAAATAGCAAAAATTAATTGTTAAGGTAATTACAATAAGGTATACCCCTCAACCATCAATTTTGAATAAAAAAAATAAAATAGAACAAAATGTCCTAAAAAAGGGAAAAGAACTAAAATAATTTCAACCAAGTTGTTTTCTTAAAAAAATTCTTTATGTTTTTCTTCCTTTTTTCACATTAAATATATTCTAGGTTTTCCGTCAAAGTTAGCCGTAATTGATCAAGAAAAGGTAATATTTAAAACTATTATTTAATTCAAAAGTATAAAGGCACAACAAATATGTCTCTTTTTTTTCGATAAGCTCAAAATATAGTGTGTAATAGTAAAAAAAAAAAAAAAAAAAAAAAAAAAAAAAAAAAAACTTAAACAAAAACTAAGGAATAAACTGTGTAGATTGTATTGCACATTTGCACATCGTTATTCCTTTCTTAAGAAAAATAAAATAAGAAAAGTACAACGCGGATATTTTCTTAGCAAACATAATAATAAAAATTGCTTGGTGTATATTTTTCACTTAACAAGCATGTGGTATGTAAGAAGCATGCTACGCATGTCACATTCAACACAATAATTTAATATTTGCACGTGTTATGTGTGCCTCACAAGCACACTTTATATGCAGACAATATCTGACCTAACTCTACACAAAAGTACCCATCGCACTAATTATATATTTACTTATAGAAAATTATACGGTGGGAGATGAAAAATTACTCTTCTTGGTCGGAGACAATTATGAACCGTTCGATAATCATCGCATGAATATTATATTAAAAAATATAATAATTTAACGTAACTTGATAACAATCGAACGGTCAACAACCACTTTTTTATTTTTCTTTTTTTCTTTTTTCATGTTCTAGTATAAAAGTCTCTTGATTGACATTTCATGACTCTCAAACTCCCCAGTCTCCATACTTTCCGTTTTTTTCCTTGCTCCGTCTCCTTTCTTTCTTCTATTAGTCCTTCACAAGAGCTTTCATTCAATGGCTGCTTATAATCTCCACTATACTAGCGCCTTTAGACTTCATAAGCCAACTTTGTCAAGTTTTTCTTACCGGCAGCCTATATTATGCCATGCGCCAAGGAAAATGACGACGTCCCAAGATCAATCTTCCTATCGTGCCTCTATAACGGCGGACATAGAGGCCCATCTCAAGCAAGCCATCCCTCTCAAGTCTCCTCTATCTGTCTATGCGCCCATGCACCACATGACGTTTTCCGCGCCGCCGAATCCAGCGCCTGCCTTGTGTGTGGCGGCGTGTGAGCTTGTTGGCGGCGACCGGAGCAAGGCCATGGCGGCAGCATCCGCCTTGCACCTCATGCATGCAGCCAGCTTCACTCATGAGCACCTCCCCTTGACGGACAGGCCCAAGCCCAAGCCCAAGCCCAAGCCCACGGTGGACCATCCTTTCAACCCAAACATTGAGCTTCTTATTCCGGATGCAATGGTCCCTTTTGCGTATGAGCTCTCGGCCGTGTCGGATGATCCGACCCAAGATACTTCGGGTCGGGTCTTAAGGGTTATTGTGGAGCTCGCACGTGTCATGGGCTCACAAGGGATTGTTGACGCCCAATACCGAGAAGTGCTAGTCAGCCCATTGGACGGTAGGGAGTTAAACGACATCGAATGGGTTGATGACATGTGTCGGAGAAAGGAAGGCCGGCTACACGCGTGTGCCGCGGCTTGTGGGGCCATCTTAGGAGGGGCAAATGAGGAAGAGGTAGAAAGGTTGAGAAAATATGGTCTTTATGTGGGAATTATGCAAGGATACACAAATAGGCTTGGAAGGAGAGTGAAGGAATTAGAGAGAGTGGTGGAGCTAAGAAATTTGGCAATGAAGGAATTAGATCATTTCAAGGGAAGGAAGGTGGAGGAAATCTCTAGCTTTATTGTTGGTCTATAGGGTACACTATTATTATTATTATTATTATTATTATTATTATTATTATTGTTAGTGAAGGAGATGGGACAGGGCATGATCATGTGAGTGCTGTTTGTGTCGTGCACCGACATTAAATATATATTGCCAAATTTGCACGTATGAGTTTTTGGTTTTCTTCAGAAAAAAAAAAATAAAAAAAAAAAAAATTTTGCCAAATTTGCCGGTTTGGTTTTTTTTTTTTTTAAAAAAAAAAAAAAAAAAAAAAAAAAAAAAAACTCACAATATGAATAGTCACATTTTCCTCGTTTTATATCAGTTTTTCTTCAATTTCTCAGCTACTTTTTATTCAACGGTATTGTTAATTAGGACTTGGCAATGACCAAAATTATGATCTTCAAAGAAGGATCCACTTTGCCAAAGAAAAAAGGGTCATTTTTTGCCTCTTGGATTTGAAACTACAAAGAGGTTTAATTTCATCTAAAAAGAGACACTCGTTTGTGCGGGAAAGATTTAATATTAGAAAATAAAAAGATCACAACGAGGGTGGCATAGAATAAAAGGCGAACTCACCATTACTGATTGAATGGCCGACAAAAGCAAGTGTTTTGGGGCGGTGCAGGTACATGACCCACTTCGGAATATTTTGATACGAGGTTGTTATTGATTTGTCCCTTTGTTACAACACTATTTAAAACCACGCGTCATTCTCTATATTTTGTGATATAAAGATTTAAAACTTTTAAATTTTTTTTTTATTGACTCGGTATTCATTTAAGAATTTAATTTAGTAAAAAAAATAAAAGAAATTTAAGTAGAATATAGTTTAAAGGAAAACAAAATTTTTAGTGGAGTAAATTATTTATAGGGTATATATGAAAACAAAGTTTTTAGTCGTGTAAACAAAATTTTTGGGGCAATTAAAGATTAAGACTTTTAAGCGTTTGATTGGTGGATTTGTGTTATGGTTTAGATCATAGTTCGTGGCTCGCTATAATATTTTTTTTTTTTAAAAAAAGACATGTAAATTGAAAATGATTCTAACTACATCAACCAAACGTCCACTAGTTTCTCTAATTTCTCTCCTGCTAGGGTTTTCTTTCTCCTTCACTTCTTTACGCCGCCTCTGATATAGGTTTCAAAGGGTTGGAGTACAGCGCATTTGGGACGGTGCAGGCACATGACCCACTTTGGAACATTTTGATATGAGGTTGTTATTTATTTGTCCCTTTGCTACAACACTATTTAAAACCACACGTCAACCACCGCTATATTTTGTGATATAAAGATTTAAAACTTCTTTAAATTTTTTTTATTGACTCGGTATTCTTTTAAGAGTTTAATTTAGTAAAAAAATAAAATTAAATTAAATTTAAGTAGAATATAGTTTAAAGGAAAATAAAATTTTTAGTGGAGTAAATTACTTATAGGGTATATATGGAAACAAAGTTTTTAGTAGTGTAAACAAAACTTTTGGGACGATTAAAGATCAGGACTTTTAGTTTCTCTCCTGTTAGGGTTTTCTTTCTTCTTCTCTTCTTTACGCCGCCTCTGCTATAGGTTTGAAAGGGTTGGAGTCTGGCGCCGCTATTGGGCAGTGCATCAAAAGGTTCACATATACTTACGAACAAAAAATTTGTAGCAACAAAATTTTCACATATAGCTACAAAATTATTTGTAGCAAAATTCAAATTTTCTTGTAGTGCATGAACTCTAATTTTGTATACAAGATAAAACTTGTATGTGTTTTTCTTCGAATGTTAAAATTTCTCATCTCAGAAGTTCAAGACGACCTTACATATTTTCTAATATTTTAATCATAAAATAGAAAAAGACACGTATATGTTACACGTTGGCTCGTGAATGTACGATTGGGTTAGAAAACATTTCTTATTGAAAGCATCTCTAAGGGAACTCTTTAAATTTTAACTAAATTCTAGATAGAATAGCTAGAAAGCTATTTTAACTAGCAACTGTTTGGTGAGTCACTCCAATCCTACTATTTATTTTAGCTAAATATAAATTATTTTAATATTTATTGAATTTAAAATATAAATAATTTCACTAAATTTACAAAAGAATCATTACATTTATTATAGTTGAAAGACTAAAATAATAAAAAAAAATGATTAGCCTCTCAATGCTAGCTATAGTTAACTTGTGTGGAAGCTATTCTTTAAAATAGCTAACTATTTAGCTAATGGTTGGAGGGGAGAAAAAAAAAAAAAAAAACCTAAATCATTAGCCATTTTGGTGAAAAACACAGACCCTTTTGTTTGAGGCATTGCGAGACCTTCGATCATGGCACAATGCATGGCACAAGTGGATGGCTTGGCATGCAAAAGTAAAGGTCATGACTGTCAGCATAGGTGATTGGCAATGCAGCAATGTCGTGGGGCAGCAGGCACGCACACACAGTGATTTATCCCGCGTAAGAGCACTGAGAACTAGTAGCGCATGCACCATGACGGATTAAAGGCGAGCGACTTTGGTCAGGTGAAGCCTAGACCATAAGGGTGTGTGGTGTGCAGTCAATGTGCCAAGTGGGCCACAGACAAGCTTGGAAAAGTATTCAGACAAAGCCAAAGTGAGCTAGCATGGTCGTTTAGACAAGCGTTCGAAATAGGCGTGGGAGCAAGCCACGTGGCACGCCGCTTAGGCATAGGCTTGCCGATAAGTGTTGGGGAGAGATTTACGGGACTTAAAGAACGTTGTGGCACGACACGACGGCTAGTGGGTTGCTGCCCACAAGATGCTCGAGGTGTGCTCGTAGTGGGCGCAAGAATGGTGCGAGGCCTACAAAAGTAAGAACTGTTCCGCGGGCCACTTTCTAGATTGTGCTAATAGTGCAAACAGGTGGCATGCACGACCAACACTCACAACGGGCAGATTAGACCACAAACCTAGTCCTGTAATGAACCTTACACATACGTCATGCTAGCAGCAGTAGGAAAGCCAACCGTTAGTTGTAGGAGAAAACACCACATACTGAGAGAGGTGGAAAAATTACCTTTTAAGTAGTGGAACACGCTGGAGGATAGAGAAACCATCACCATTATTATAACAAAATAAAGAACAAAGTACAAAACACTATACACAAATCCACAACTTACACATGAGAGATTTGATTGGAGATAGTGTTCACACCACGAGCAAGCAATTACCCTAAGTCTTTTCATGAGTTTTCAGAGTCCACGGTTGGTGAACACCCTCAAAAGATCGTGTAAAATCACCGAGAAACTCATATTTTCACGGGTCAGATTTGACGAAACGCTACCTCCTTTGGTTACACGGAGCCCATCACCTTGTAGATTGTCTCACTGCGAGGTCAGAGATGGAAATTTTATGGCCAGTGGTTCGGCGACGGACCAGACCTCCGGCCAAAGAGAAAAGGTCGGCAGAAAAACTTAGAGAGAGAGAAGAAAAAGTTTTTTTTAGAGAGAGAGCCGTAGACCTTTTCTATTGTTCTTTTACTGTCCAGTGAACTGAACAAATTATACAAATTCATTTCGAAGAAAGCAAATAAGAAAAATAAAATTGGACAAAAGAAGGAACATAATGAAGAAAAAGGCTGAGAACAAAAACAGAAGACAAATAAAATTCATCTCATCTATAGATACTAGCATTAAGGGGGACACGTCCCTGAGGCACGTCCTCTTTTTAGACGTAAAAAATGGGTTTTTGTTTTTTGAATGGATAAGAAATTAATATTAATAGCCATGAAAAAATTATTAAAATATCAAAATTACCATGAGAGAATAAGTATATTAAAAAAAATAAACAATAATAATAGGCATATCTTTTTAATATTTTGATACAAAAATATTTGAAAAAATTAAAGGAAAAGGAGAATATTAATATTAAGAAAATGCATGGAAGAAAAAATTATAAAATAAAAAAGAGAGTAAAGTAATATTGACTCTACCTTATGATCTAGATAGGATATGCAGCGTGTATCTTTAGGGACATGACCCGAAATCTAGACCGGGCCACTACGGTAGTGATAAGGCGTGTATTTGTTATAAATTACTTGTTGATGCCTGTAATACGGAATTTAAAGTTTATACTTCCTTTCAAAAAAAATGATGTTAGGTTCCAGCTATTGTGTTAGAACTGGATATCTTTATTTATTTATTTATTCATTTATTTACTTATTTATAAAGTTTATTTCAAAATACATTCTATTGGGCTTTCTGCTAATGTTTACTTTTGTTTCTATATATATATTAAACACCCCCCCAGGCGACGCTAGAAGCAGTGCAGCGTAGCTGATTTAGTTGCTACCGTCTGTTCAAATGAGGACATTGTATCCATTACTGACACATTATGTAAGGATTGTAAACTCTCAGACTGTAAACTTTAAATATCTAGACTGTAGTTGACGTTTGTAAATATTCTTTACATGTTCATATATGTACAATATTATATATTATGTAAGTGAGACCCTAAATGATGCCAAAATCTTACTTTTTTAAACCTGTTTTATCAAAAAGATGTGAAAGTTCGATTCACTTTCTTGTAAATTAATTTTATCAAAATATGGGATTTGTTTAGAAATTGATTTAATATTTTTCTTTTGGTATTAAATATTTTATTTTTAAGTACTTAATTACTTTCATAATTATATTTAATTTTTAAACGAGTCTCCACATTACTGACCCAAGTTTCGAAACGTGACATAATTTTACACATCCTCCGTCAACATTAACAATTTAAAATGTTGCGTTTCTTTCCCATTTCGTCAACCACAGATTTATGTAATTAATATCGTCGTTTAGAAATCAATATTAAATGCAGAATGGAAGTTTTTACATTATTTATTTTAAAATAATCCATGACGTAAATCTCGGGAAAATTTGAAAAATCATGATAATGAGTGCACGGCAGCTTATTACAAAGTCATATTCCTATTTTACCACAACTTCAATGCATTGACGATCAATTAATTACAAATTATTAATTTGCAACACCAAAGTTACCGGCAGAAAAGACGTGGCAGAAAAGACGTGGCAATGAAGAAAATGGTGGTGAATCAACGCGTTACGTGTTATGTGAATCAACGTACGATGTGCGCAAATCCAATAGCACTAGTTATTTATTGACACAAGAATTTGAACTATTGGATCATATCATAATAGTAAGATACTCTAACGCAAGTTTATGTAAATCGAACCGTCAAGAAATAAGATCGTGTTGATATAGTTTTTTGGGCCTCGTTTATTTCACGGATTTAAATTTTTAATTTTAAGTTTTTTTAGTTAAAAACTCTTAAAAAATATCACATCTAACTTTTTTTATTACGATTAAAAGATGTTAAAAAATATCACATCCTAACTCCTATTAAAAATTTAAATTTCTGAAGTGAACGATGCCTTTATATTCCTTGTTGTAGACTCCTATTTCATTAACTCCCATAGTCCACAATTCCATCCTTCTGCTTTCCTCGTTCTGTCTCCTATATTTTCATTTTCATAGTGTTTTCACAGCTGATTTCCTCAAATGGCTGCTTATTGTCTCCACAATACGAGCGCCTTAAGACTTAATAATCCAACTTTGTCAAGTTTTTCTTGCCGGCCTTTATTATGCCAAGTACCAAGGAAAATAATCACAATGTGCCGAGATCAATCTTCTTATTGTGCCTCTATAACGGCTGAAATAGAGGCCCATCTCAAGCAAGCCATCCCTCTCAAGCCTCCTCTCACTGTCTTTGAGCCCATGCACCACATGACGTTCTCCGCGCCGCTGAATTCAGCGCCCGCCTTGTGCGTGGCAGCGTGTGAGCTCATTGGCGGCAGCCGGAGCCAGGCTATGGCGGCGGCGTCCGCCTTGTACCTCATGCTTGCTGCCAGCGTCACTCATGAGAAACTCCACATCCCGAATAGACTCAAGCCCAAGCCCAAGCCCGCGCCCGGGGTCTGCAGTGCTAATGGCCCAATGTTTGACCTTATGTTCCTGGACGCAATGGTCCCCTTTGGGTATGAGCTCTTGGCCATATCGGATGATCCAGACCAGGACACTTCGGGTCGGGTCTTGCGGGTTATCGTGGAGCTTGCACGTGCCATGGGCTCGCAAGGAATTATCCACGCCCAATACCAAGGAGTGATAGTCAGCCAATTGGACGGCGGGGGGTCAAACAACATCGAATTAATCGATGACATGTGTCGGAAAAAGGAAGGTCGGGTACATGCGTGTGCCGCCGCTTGTGGGGCCATCCTAGGAGGGGCAAATGAGGAGGAGATAGAGAAGTTGAGAAAATATGGTCTTTATGTTGGAATAATACAAGGATATACAAATAGACTTGGAAGGAAAGTGAAGGAAATAGAGAGGGTAGTGGAGCTAAGAAATTTGGCACTAAAGGAGTTAGATCATTTCAAGGGACAGAAAGTGGAGGAAATCTCTAGCTTTATTGTTGGTCCATAGGGCAAAGATTGGTGAGCAAGAAAATGTAGAGAGTGAGTAAGGAGGAGAAAAGGTACGTAAATAGATAATAAGAACATAAAGAATATGAAAAAACAGTACGAAGAAATAATATAAAGAAAGAAGAAATTGTAGGCCATAGAGTGATGAAAGAGAAAATAATGAAAAAAGAAAATAAACATAACGTTTTACTAGTATATTCTAAAGTCTCTAACGACTTACCAGTATGCTAACTTTTCTAGCTATCTTTTTACCCCTCTACATGCACGGTAATTTTTTTTAGAGAGAGATTATTTAGTACGATGTATATTACGTCATTATGCTTATATAGTACACTCATCTATTAAATATGTGACCTTTAAATTGTTGGTTCTAATAAGCTTTCTCTCTCCTAATGTATTTTATCTTAAATGCTTGTTCATATTTACCAAATACTCCACTTAAATCACTTAAGGTGTGTTTGGAGTACAAATCTGTGTCATGGTTCGGATCATAATTCGTGGTTCGCTACAGTGTTTTTTCTCACAAAAAACACACGAAACCGAGAATTATTATGAATCATGGTTCTGAATCCATGAATCAAACGTCCTCTTATATTAATTTAATAAGTTTCAAATAATATTATATAATCTTAAGTACTAACAAGTATTATTTTCTACCCTCAAACCAATTTATTTCACTTTCAATAAGTAACAACTTATTTTTAAACAATCTGCAACAAATATCTTTTTTATACGAATTAAATATAAAATGATGTGGAGATTGAATTTAATTCGTTATAATAACGTTCCAGTTAGAGAACTTGCAATAGCAGCACCGAGTGGTTTCAAGAAATTAAACCACGATTGAAAGAGGCGATCAAGTAGTAGTTGAAAGGCTGAAAATGTTGGCTTTTTAGCACCCGAATATCCAGGTCATGAATGTAACAAAAACTGATATTGCTTTGATATAATGAAATTCAAAATTTTAACTCAAAAAAAAAAAAAGAAAGAAGGAAGGAAAGTCCAACTAACTAGTTTAAGAGATTTAGATAGTGTTTATCAATTGTGTTTAGTTGGAGGATTCGTTCTCTGATTCGAATTATAGTTTATGGTTCGCTACAGTATTTTCTCTCATAAAAAACACACGTAAATTAAAAATAATTCTAATCTCCTGGTTTTAATCCATGAACCAAACGGGTTAATGTCTTGAATACATTCGTTAGGAGAAAGATGCTTAGAAAATGTTAATAGTGACTAATAATCTAAATGTTGAACAGATTATACAAAAGAAGACAGTACAGCAAAATTATTCATGTGTAGATAAACACACAAGACATTAGCAACAAAATTGTAGACTGAAAAAAAAAAATCAAACTCAAAGGAAGGAAAAATTAAAACTAGAGAAAAAGAGAGAATACGAAGGAAATGATTCACATACTATAAACAGTGACGGAGCCATTTGTAATTGAGTGAGAGTAGCCGCCTCCTACTGAGTTTTGTTTTTTTGTTTTTTAAAATAACTTTTAAAAATATGTGATTTTTAATTTTATTCTAATGAGATATTGTTTTTACTTGTACTGAACTTCACTATTGTTTTTATTTTAAATTGCATACTTCTAAAAAAAAACACTTAGTATATGCACCTACAAAAGTCACTATTGATCATGATGTGAGACATTTGTAAAAATTGATGAACTCATTTTTTGAATGTATTATTCTAAATTTTTACTATTTATTCTTGATTAATATTTTTTTATTAATATAATTTTTTGACTAAATAATATTAATTAAATGTAAGGAGTAAAAATTTAAAATTGGTGCATTTTAAAAGTATTTGTCTTTTTCTCTCAAAATAGGGAGAAAGAAGAAAATAGGTCAATACTTGAGATGAATTAAAATTAATAGGCCAATAATTTATATAAGTTAATAACTAGGCTAAATTACTGTTTTCATCCATAACTTGTCTGGTTATGAACCATAACTTGACAAGTTATTTACGATTTTTGTTCATAACTTGTATGGCTATGAATCATAACTTGATAAGTTTATCTATAACTTATTTAGTTATAAATCATAACTTAACAAATTATGATCTATTAATTTTTATAACTAAAAATTAATTTATATATTTTTTTAAACTTTTTATATTGATCTATTTTCTACTATTTTTCCTCAAAATATTGTGTTCTGTTGGAGATTTATACCCGAAACAAAAAGTGGGCCTTTTACATAGTGACATCCGTATGGACCCAATCAATGAAGCCGACCTTTTTTGTTTGATGGGGATCAGGACACGTATGATTACTCTCCTTGCTTACTCGGCCTTGATCTTTATCCCCAAGCCATCAAAGAGACTAAGAAAGTTAATACGCGGCAAAAATCCAATTAGGTAGAGATTTTCTCATTGATGGTGTGCACAATTTACAACTCACGTGTAATCAAAACAGGAAAGTCAACGAAAGCGAGGAAAGAGAGAGGGGAAAGAAGAAGCATAATTTAATTGAAAATCACGTTTTCAGTCACTCGATTCTTAAAATACACTCACGCATTTTATGACGGTCGATTTATATAATAGTGAAGACCGTATTGGTATTTTCTTCCTCTTTTTTAGTTGTATACGGAATAAAGACAGTTATTTTGTCAGTGTTAGTGTTTTTTCCTCATAAATCTATAGATCTATGTGAGTTTTGGTTATTTTTATTGATTTTGATTGGGTTCTCCCACCAAGCTCTAATCTTGTGTGGGCTTTGTGTTGTTTTTAATTTTCTGCATGCTTTTAGCTAGATTTCTCGCTTCGGTGAGTTTAATCCAAAAGAATACCGACTTTCGGATATCGGTCTTTACAGAGTTTGTTACAATCCTTTTAAGAAAGTCAACTGTGCAGAAAGAATTAAAAGAACTAAGAGAAATACTCTAAATTGTGTCTATTATCATACTTTAGATTCATATATTAAGACGCCAACAAATTTACTGATATTGATTTGTTGTATTAATTTTTTTGTATTAAACTATCTGTAAGTTTCATGCTTGTTGATTAATGAAATGTTGTTTTACATATAAGGGAAAAAAAAAAAAAAGGAGAGGAAAATTGAACACGTATCGAAAAGCAAGTAAACAAAGGTTGTTATAGTATGAAAATGATAAGCACTTATAATAAGTTACATACAACGTGTTATGTGTGCCTGACCCTCACGACCTCTTTGTCAAATGCAGACAACCCTATAGCATTAGTTTTTATTTACATATGGGGATTATATGGTTGGAAATAAATAGGTGCGTTTTAGTCATATGATAAAAATAATAAAATATAATAATTTAAAGAAACTTGATAAGATAAATGTCCTATCGATATAGTTTCTTTATATTCTTTGTATAATTCTCCAGATTGATATTTCATAACTCCAACCTTGTTCTCAAACTCACCATAGTCCACAATTCTTTAGGGTGTGTTTGGAACTCGTTTCAAAATGAGTTTTTATTTTTTGTATGAAATAGAAATGAAAACGTTTTCAATCTCGAACAGAAATCATTTTTAAATATGCGTTTGGTAGTTTTTATCTAGGGATTATTTTTAGTATTAAAAAATCCATTAGTGTCTCTCTCTATTCGAGAGATGAGAAAACAGAAACAAAAAATGAAAATCATTTCTCTTTCATTTTATACTAAACTAAAAAATCGTTTTCATTTCCGTTTTTTATCTTTAATTGTGCCAAACTTTCGTTTTCATTTTTTTTTGAAAAACGTAAAAAAAATAAATAAAAAACAACTCCAAACACAGCCTTAATTTCTTTCTCGTTCTCTCTCCTTTCTTTCTTTCTTTCTTTCTTTCTTCTATTAGTCCTTCACAAGTGCGTTTCTCAATGGCTGCTTATTATCTCCACAATACTAGCGCCTTGAGACTTCATAATCCAACTTTGTCAAGTTTTTCTTACCGGCCTTTCTTATGCCACGTATCAAAGAAAATCATTACGTCCCGAGATCAATCTTCTTGTTGTGCCTCCATAACGGCTGACATAGAGGCCTCCTCTCTCTGTCTTTGAGCCCATGCACCACATGACATTTTCCGCGCCGCCGAATTCGGCACCCCCCTTGTGCGTGGTGGCGTGTGAGCTTGTTTGTGGCGACCGGAGCCAGGCCATAGCGGCGGCGTCCGCCTTATACCTCATGCATGCAGCCAGCTTCACTCATGAGCACCTCCCCTTCACGGACAGGCCCAAGCCCAAGCCCAAACCAACTGTCCACAGCGGTTACGGCCCAGACTTTGAGCTTCTCATCCCGGACGCAATGGTCCCTTTTGGGTATTATGAGCTCTTGGCCATGTCGGATGATCCGGCCCAAGACACTTCGGGTCGGGTCTTGCGGGTTATGGTGGAGCTCACACGTGCCATGGGATCGCAAGGGATTATTGATGGCGAATACCAAGATGGCAAGATGTACTAGTCAGCCAATTAGATGGCAAGGAGTTAGACAATGTCCAATCAATCGACGACATGTGTCGGAAAAAAGGAAAGTCGGCTACACGCGTACGCCGCCGCTTGTGGGGCCATCGTAGGAGGGGCAAATGAGGAGGAGATAGAGAAGTTGAGAAAATATGGTCATTACGTTGGAATAATACAATACAAGGATATACAAATAGACTTGGAAGGAAAGTGAAGGAAATAGAGAGGGTAGTGGAGCTAAGGTGGAGGAAATCTCTAGCTTTATTAGTATTATTATTAGTATTATTATTTCCTAAAATGGCATTTGGTGTTGATGCAACTTGCAAAGAAGATAGTGGACATGGGACAGGACATGATCACATGTGAGAGAGTTGTTTTGTCAATGTGTCATGCACTGACATTTAATATATATATATATATATGTCCAAATTTATACGTATGAGTTGTTGTTTTTCTTCAAATGAATTATGGCATTTTCCTTGTATCAGATTTTTCCTTTTCTCTGCTATTTGTGTTTCAACGGTATTAATTATTTAGGATTTTGCAGTGTTCAAAATTATGATCCTCAATGAAGGGTCTAATTTGCCAAAGAAAAATTGTCAAATTTTTCACCCCTTGGATTTAAAACTTCATAGATGCAATTAGCTGAAAATACATTTTGTCTGTGAAAGATATAATATTAGAAAAGAAAACGATCACTAGAAGGTTGGTATAGTATAAAAGCCGAACTCATCATGACATAGATTGGCCCGCAAAAGCATTTTGGTGCGGTGCAGGTACATGGCGCACTTAGGGAACATTTACTAAGATTGTTATTTAAATATTTTGTTCTTTACCATATTGTGTTCTTACAAGTGAGCAACCCCCTTTATTTGATACAAAAATTGCACATATCTCCACTTTGTATGATATTATCTGTTTTAAACCTAAGCACACACAGTTTTGCTCTTCAGCTTCACCTTAAAAGGCCTCATACCATTAAGAGATGGTGTAGGCCAACTGCACAGTTTACTCTTTCTTAGACATCTTATTTCAAGAGATTGATGACTGTCACAATCACCCCAACTTTTGGGGTCCAACGTCCTTGTTGGCCACACTTCTGGCTGGGTACAGGCTCTGAACCATATGTAACGACTCATACCTCTACTTTGTATGATATTGTCCATGTTGAGCCTGAACCAGCACGGTTTTGCTCTTGAACTTCACTCTAAAAAGTCTCATGCTATTGAGAGATTAGGATCGTTACATATGGTATCAGAGTATGTACCAGTCAGAAGTGTGGCCAACAAAGACGTTGGGCCGCAAAAGGTGGGGTGATGTGACAGCCATCAATCCTTTAAGGTAAGAGGTCCAAGAAAGGGTAAGTTATGCAGTCGCACATCACCTAGAGAGTGATATAGGTGATGGTTTATAAGAAAAGGACACCCCCTGCTAGTGGTATGCGTGCTTTTGGGGTGAAGTCCCAGAGCAAAATCGTGTGGGCTCATATTTAAAGCGGACAATATCATACCAAGTGGAGGTGCGGGTCGTTACAAAAAGATTGTTATTTAAATTCATATGTTTTTTTATGTACTAGTTTTGGGAACGTGCTCCGCATGTGTTGCGCGTGTGAATCGCCTAAGCAGTCTATTAGAGAAACTCGCTAAATTTTAAACACACAGTAGTAAAAGAGATTAAAAGACAATTAAATAGATGTATAATTTTCTATGAATTGCATTTAAAACATTATATTTAAAAAATAGACATATCAAAATGTGCGTTTGAATCACAACGTATGTTCCTGTAAACGTTATATTTTGATAAATAAAATCGAACATGCTAAAAGAAATATTTTGAGCAGGACAAATCAAATAGAAAACTAATTAAGGTGTATATATGAAAAAGAAAAGAACGTTTACATGAGTGCATATTTGAACATAATTATTTTAGTAGTGGTTTTTTTAATATAAAACATATTGAAAAATAAATAAAATAGCAAACTAATTTGGGTATATATGAGAAGGAGAAAAATGTCTGCTTAAAGGTATATACGAGAAAAACATTTTAGTGGAGTAAAAAAGAACAAAAAAATTAATCAAATACATGTAACCTAAAATATATAAAGGATTGTAAGAAAACTATTTGAGTGATGACATATTTATTAAAAATATTTTAATTGGAAAACTAGAGAAGAGAAAAATAATTCATCAAAATGGATTCCACATATATGCCAAAAAAAGATAGAAAATAAAAAGAAATATCAATAGAGGACAAGCATGTAAATAAAAATAATTAAGAATAAAAAACAAAAGAAAACAATCTTATATTATTTATGTTTTTTAATATAAGTAGTCTTTTATGCCTTTAGTATTAAGATTTAGGACCAGTTTAATAGTGCTGTAGATTTTTAAAAAAATTATTATTAGTTGTGCTAAACAAAACAGTTGTTACAAAAAGTAGTTGAGTGTTTGATAAACTGTAATTATACAAGTATTAATTTTAGAGGTATTATGGGTATTATAAAAGTTTCATTAATTGTACTTCAAGGTGATTGCCGCACAAACTAAAAGTCAAAGTTGCCTTTGGGCTGATTCTGATTTTAACTGTAAATTCTTCAACAATTCTTTAAGAATCACTTTTTATGGTTTTTACGAAACACAAATTTCAACTGTGGATGACTAAAGAATTAATTTTGGACTCTAAAAGTTTCAACCAAACATACCCTTAGTGTATATGTGTGTGGAATTTGGTTTATTTTATGCAATCTTTAATTTTTTTTTTAAATAGTAGTGGATTTCTACTTTATTTTGTTTTAAATTTTTACAATTTTAAAATGCATTGTTTGCCTTAAAAAAAAAAAATGCATTGTTATATTAAATGGAAAATAAGAAGAGTACAAAGAAGGTCTCATCAATGAGACATTGGCGGGCCTCAGTCCCGTCTCTCCTTACACGGAAAAGAAGGTGAAGATAAGGACGGAATCATTCCTTGCCCCGCCGTATTACCTTTTTTTTTTTTTTAATATAAGAAAGAATACTTTCATAATTTGTAACAATAATTTCAAATAAGTGAATCACTAAATTTCTTAAAGCTTTTCTTAATTTCAGTTAAGATAAAACGTTCTAAAAATATCTTTCAAACAGAGCAGCATTTGAACTCTTATTTCAAATGCTCTTTAAAAGTCTTTCTAAAACTAGCCAATTCAATCGGGCCATTTAATTTTGACTTTAAAACGGATTTCGTGAGAAATCTTAAATTCAAGTACATCTTAAAGCCCTTTTAAAATCAATCATTTAAATCGTCATGTTTAAAATTTATTTATTTGTTGCATGCTCTGTTGCAACGTTCTAAAACTTAAATACTCAAAACGAGGGTTGTTAGCTACAACCTCGGTTTCTTTAACATACATATGTACCTATACTTTTTAAACATACATGCTTGAAACCTTTAAATCATATATACATATACACGATTTTTCTTAAACTTACTGCGGAAGATAACTGCGGGAGCGTTATCCATTCCCATCTCCACCATTCGTCCGCCGCTTGCCATTGCCCTTCAAGAATTGCTGATAGGTTTCTTACCTACA